TCCCAGTGCTCTAGAGTCTACTCTGTTGTCTTGCCTCTGTTTTCCTGTTCCCACTGAGCTATCCCCCTGTCCATCTCCAAATAAAGTGCTGCCTCTGTTGTCAGCCCCACCTTTCAAACACACCTAGCCGTTTCCAACCAGGCTTTCTCAGACTTTGTTTGCCTGCATGGCATAGAATTATCACTTTCAGAGTTTTCTTAAGGCTTACTCAAGTCATGAAATGTTTTTTCTTGGTAGTTATTGGCCTCCTTCCAAACTGTCAATAACTTTCTAGGAACATGATGCCTGGGAATTAGGGTGGTTCTGCATTCTATGAATTACCAATGATAGTAGAGGCAAGGAAAGATCTTTGGCTGATGTTGTCATGAGACTATGAAGTCTCAGGTTCAGGCTTTACCAGACACAAGGAAGAGAGAAGTTAGGCAAGGCTCACAGCTAGCTCTAACCCAGCCTGAGTACAGAAGTTTGGTTTATAGCAGTTTGCGATGTGTATTCCCATGATCACATACTGTGCCAGGAGCAGTGCCCCAGTTTAAAATCACATCATGGAAATGGCTTTCTTATCTATGGTAGCATATCCATCCCTCAGCTTTACAAGACATATTGAGTAGTCTATGAAGCAGGTCTGGCTGGTGATCTTTGTTTCTCCACATTCCAGAAACTGAAGGAAGGAAAATTTCCCATGAGGACTCAGAGGTGAAAGATCTAGGGCAGAGCCACTGCTACTCATCTCCCCCCTGCAAATTCTCTGCTCTTTCTGAGTGCAGAGGAAAGGCTGTTTCTATAGAAACCGTGGGGAAATGTACATTATATCATGTTTTACATACTTTCCCGAGGAGACCCTTTAGTCTGAGCCTGCCACTATGTAATGTTACAGAAACGATAATGCTAATAAAACTCCTAAGTTTAATAGTGATTTCAAATCAAATCAAATAATCATCAATTACTTCAAAGACGCTTCTGCTTGTAACCTTCTGCCCTAGCCAAGACACTGGGACAGGACTAACAAGGCAGCCCATAATAAGGTACATGACAGGAGAGTAAATCTGAGGCAGCAAGAGGTGTGATGAGAGGTGGGGGGTGGGTTCTGCACAGCAGCAAGCAGCTGCTAACGCTTGAGGAAGGACAAAAAGCTAAATAAAACATCTTCATATTTTACTTTTGTGTAGAGAAGTATGAAATAAAGATGAAAGGTATGTTTTATAGCACACGTTTTAGCCTATCTTTCCACTTCTTTACCTAGCCAACCTCCTGTTGCCATCCGTCCTTTGTGAGCAGCCTTTTGAAGTTCTCTTTTTCTGCCTTATAAAAAATTATCCCACCATTTCCTACTTGCCTTTGTAAAAGCCCTTTGACCTCCCAGACAATCAGACCTATTGCACCCCAGGGTCTCAAGGAGACAGTGCTCTTTGTGAGGCTGCACCATGAAGGTCACTCTCTAGCATCAGGCTGTCCTGGTAGCAGCAGTTCTCCTGGGGATCCTTCAGAACAGAAGCCTAATTTAGTCCTTTGGATGTCAAAACAAGCTTTTGCTCTGTCCTTCCCACCCTCAGTTTGTTTTTAACTTAATTCCTCATGACCACTATATCCTTCCTGATTTGCACTGACCCTGTGACTTAATTAGAGTTTTCCCAATATTTAAAGTAGCTCCTATGTGTTGCCTTGCAATTTCTTCAGGGCAAGGACTTTCTTGCTGTGTAGAGCAACATGCAAAATAAATCTCAGCCCTGTCTTGTTTTAAGGCTGTGATTGATCCTTAGCCAGGTCCCTGGTCATTGTGCTGAAAGTATGTACACCAAAACCATCAGTGAGGCTTTGTATCACTAATGCTGGGTTTGTATACTGCAAGGTAGGATAAGGTATCTATTGGGACCAAGCAAGGGTGCACCTGCTTTCAGCATCTTTTCCACACAGTTCTCTTCCTCCAGACTTGCCCTTCATCCTGTGCATTTTCATAACTTCTTGGGTTGCAGTAAGTTCTGTCCAGGTCCTTTGAATCCCAAGGGGTTGAAAAAAAAAAAAGCTGTTTCTCTTTCCATTGCTTCTGAGGCCTGGCTGTTGGTCTGCTCTTTGCTCCCTTTGGGGTCTTGCAGTTTCTGTACACACATTACAGAGTTTCCCATAAAGTCCTTCTCTGTTCTGTCTTACAGCAAGATACATTCAGTGATTATTAGAAGGGAATAAATAATTCCCCTTTCATATTCCTGCCTTACCCTATGCCCCCTGTGCAGAATGGTAGCTTTGCTCTCTGTTTTCCAGTCCCAGTGCTTTTCACAGAACATAATGGCTAACTGTGAATAAACAGCTGATGCTCATACTGTCTGGTTTAGAGGCTGTAAGCAGTTCTAGAGCCAAAATAATATATAGGTATTAATAGAATCACTGTAATGATACAATGCAAGAAAAAAATGTCCTCAGGAGTATGATAATCTAACTTCAAAAGCAATTACCATCAGTAACAAAATGCAGTGAGAAGACTAGGATTACTTTAATAAGATTATCTGCTTCTTGCCATTTGTTTCTGTGGGTGACTGTAATGCTGCTTCACCTTCATTCCCAGCCAGTTTCCCAGATGTTTCTCACCCTGAACATTGGCCAAGCTGGACTCTGAAGCTGTGGCTCACTGGCCTTCCCGTGGGATCGAGCCTATCTCTGTGAGCACCTGCTTCTTGGTCTTCAGCCTCCCCTACTCTTGTGCCTTTGTTGTCACTGCAGTATTGTTTTTCCGTGCTGGGTGGCATAAAATATCCATGGTGCAAAAAGCAGGAA